GTACCCCGTCATTTTCTTTTCGTTCAGGCTACACATGAGTGAAGTTAGATTTCTGAAAATAGTTTTGGTAGCGCCTTTGATGATGAAGGCGTCCATCTGTCAGTACTATCATTGTTCCGTCCTTTAATGTCATTATTATCCTAGCGGTGTCACATCAAGCCCTTTGTCATGCTAACCAACATTCTGTTTAATTGTTGGAGGGGGGAATTTCCGTCAGTGGCACGGAAGTTGCCGTAGTTTTTGCTTGGAGCAAAACTTTCGTTCACACTATATCTTCATTATAAATGTGCAAACAATAGTGTAGAGACTGCTCCAATACTTTGATTATTTGTTTAACTCTTCGTTTTGGATTCGCTGGCAATTGCAGCTCCGCATTTGTACTTCCGTTGGGCAGCATGACTTCTGGGCTGTCTGTAGTTCCCTAGCCCTTCTGTAAGTTGGCATTATGCAATTTTTCCCTAATGTTATGCCTTCTCTCATCTTTAAGAAAATCTCGAAGGGTTACCACGGTATCATTAATCAAAAATAAATCAATGAATTTTAGATAACGATTTTGGTAAGCTTTTAAATAAAGGCACTCAGAATCACTGTTTTAGTTAATGAATGTCCATATATAGTTTAAAAATACCTTTAAGCTGAGGCTTATTTGTATCTTCTGTTTGACAAAATGCGGATGATTAATATCCTTTGGCTCTGCACAACAACAAACACTCCAAAAGAGGTAACGAGGGCATTTTAATCGCGTTTGCGAGCCTGGTTTCCACCTGCAAATCATAAGTTACTTGCTCCTCTAGAGATAATTCCAATAGCAAATGCTTTTATTTTATTAAAATGCAAGAAGTTTTACTCTATTTGATTCACCATAATGAAGAGTATCATGCTTAAAAATAAGAGAATCTACTTGAGAAAGAGCGTTAAAGTTTTTGTTATGCTATTTAAGGTTAATATCTTAAAGTATATATATAAACTTAATGCAACACAGGAAGCAAACAAATTTTGTAGAAACTTAGAACATTCTATCCGAAAGGGAGGATGTGACCTGTTTTTTGAAAGCAACACAAGTCATTTCCTGAGCTAAAAGCCTTAAATAGCGCTCGGCCACACAATGCTTGTTGCTCTGTTGCCAGCATGGTTGACTCCATTGCTGCCGCCCGCTCGAGGATCTCGAGTCGCCACACAGGAGAAGTACGTGCAAGCTGTCATCGAGCGTCATTCAGTAAATAGAATGACTAACCTGAAGACATATTCCAGTGGATTGGTAAACTTTGTGTATGACATTCCATCGGAGTCAAATGATGCCATTTAATGTCAATAACGCTGCCGTGGGGAAATTAAACAGTCCGATATCAATTGACAATTAATCAGTGGTGTTTGATTTATTTGCAAATGGCAACAAATTTGCAGGAATTAAGAAACGATTGCAGATTAGGAAACCAATTTTATTCTAGTATTTCACCAAATGAAATTGCTATCTTTTCGTCAGTCCAATGTTTACTGGAATTTGCGTTTTGGATTGATCTCACCAATGGGAATGAAAGTAGTGTCGGAAGAAATGCCTCTCACAACTGCGCCTCATCAATTATAGCGATTGGGAAAACAACTCAACTGTAAATGAAAGCCATGGGGAAAGAGTTTTCTGGGCTTATAAACGTCCATTCAGATATTGCGGTGTGTAAAAATGTCCGTCAAAAACTACAACATTTACTACTTAGCATTGTGTGATATAATTATAGTCTCAGCAGATAACGTTGTATTTCACTAAAGGTAAACATATATAAAGCAGCAGGAGATTAAGTTTGAAGAAGAAATTGCAGTGTTTCCTGTAAATATGCTCCTTAAAAATGTCGGATTATTTCAGTGGGTTCACCTATGGACATGCAAAACGTTATCACATTAATTTGATTCACCAAAGAAATCAAATCACTGTTAGTTTTGTGCTCTGTAATGAGAAAATTCTACTGAATAGGCTTTTTCCAACTAATTTTTTACCTTAAAGATGCGTGTGAATTGTAAGCTATAGGAAAGTTGCTCGGTCATGCCATCGCGCGTGGCAACATTTGTGATTGAATTAAATGTTCTCCTAATGATCGACGAGTGAAAGTTTTCTACCTACCCTTTAGGGTAGTACCAGGTTGAGATATGTCAATCAACTGAACAATCGGTGTTTATTTTTTCCCCAGTCTGATTATACCCGTGCCAGTGCAGATTTTCACGGTGGTACTACCCTGTTATTTGGGAGGAGCAACGGCAATTTTTCTCCCTTGTTTCTAATATGTTTTTTAGTATTAGAAAGGTAGCTACAGTACACGATCTCAAAAACGTTTTTAGATTTCTAAGATGGTCACCACTATCAGTGTACTTACAGTAAAAGTGTAAATTCTCACTTTTGGTGGATGCACAAGGTGCCACCCTCTATATCTAGCAAAAATGACTTAATTCAGAACTATGGGCATCTACATCACTCCAATTTAAAAAATGGGCAAATTGAATTCTTCACAACTGAACCACAATAAGGATAATTACATGATGGTTTGAGATGCTGCAGACTCATTGTTGATATAAATCAGGTGAAATGATAATGTATTGCCTGCTTTGTAGTTATTTTACTCCTATTTATCCCCACAATAGCCGAACTTCAAAAACTAAATTTTTGTTCCGAGGAAACCACCATTAAGCTTTGAGTCTTTGCAATTTCTTCGGGACCAACTGCTCCTGACCCTGAAAGTAGGAAGACGGTCCCTGTGCCTCTACTCAATCGACAAGGTCTATCAACACCTTCTACATTACATTTCACTCGTCCCTTTTATCACCTCGTCATCCTCAATGTCAAACTTCCTGCAGCAAAAATGCTAGTCCAGCAGTCCTCTGAACATTCTTCGATTCTTTTCACCAAAACATAATTTATGTAATCTTGCTGGTGCTTGCCTGATCCTGATTTACCAAAATAATCGTCATAGAACCAAAATACGTATGTAATCCATTTGATCATTTCAGTAAAGCACGATCCAGGTGTGTCCGTATAAACATAAAAGCACACTGAAATCGGCAAAAATGTACGACAAACACTTGCAGTGACACGATTTGTGGGAGAAATGTCATATTCTACTATAATGACTCAAAGGATGGAACGAAGGCATAGGATTTAACAAGGAAGGTGTAACGCACATTTTTATTAAAAATAGAGGACATACAATTCGAGTGGTTTACGTAATTAGTTTTACGTTAGAAAGTTTGTAAGTGAAGCAGAATTAAATCTGCCATATCAAACTCAAAATGAGGCTAAAAACTTTAGGACTTCACAATATAGTGGTTTTATCAATGAACTGTTTGCTGATGCTTATTTTGGCAAAAGGTTTCTAGGGATTTTTCTGGTCACATGTAGAAATGATACAAACGGTATTTTGCGAAATTCTAAATTCCAATTAAGGTCGTTCCGACATTCCTTGATCGAAATTACGACCTCTCTATTTTGCACAATGTGTGAAGATGCTTACCGATTTCTCGATGGCTATGGCAGCTTTTTAACAGCGTATTTTTACATTTCCTGCTGTAAATTAGATTGAGGTGAATAGCGGCACCCACTGCTTGTCGAAAATGTCAGCTGCCCGACAGTGAGTCACCCAATCACCAGTTGCTTAAATGACCATTTGTCCAGTTTAAAGAAGAAGCCTTCGTGGGTATTTTCCAGAATTCTTTGTTATCAAAAAATACTTCTTTTGACGTGTATAACCCTACTGTGTTATAGCGCAGCATTGGGGGCGATTAACAGGAAGACCAAGGTAGTCTATTCTGAGTAATGCTATTACCGGATTTAATGTGTATAGGCTTGGGTCCCATCGAATTTCCAACCAGCGTGACCATGGACCTCTTCGCCTGCTAACGTGTATGAACAGGTGGAGGCACACGACAGGTGTATACCCGGCTAACGATCGGTGGCTGAGAGGCCTAACAACTGGCTAACGGAGACAAAGGATGGTTCAGTCCTAGCATGTTTTAATCGGTCGTAGTCTTATAACAATTATTGGCACTTTTAAAGTCCATCCGCACCTGACACTTGACAGTCGGAAGAGCCTAACGAGAGCGCTGTTTTGGATTATTGAGGAATTAATCATGTTACTGGAGACTCTCAGACAATCTGAGCAGAAATTGCCCCTAGAGTTGCAAACCTCTCCAGCAAATACGCAGTAAAATTTCATGACATTGTTTAGAATTGGTTAAAAATTGAAGGTAGAACAATTTTATTGTTTGAGTTTTAGTAAAAACAAATCCATAGTCGAAAATACTGATTAATGAAAAGAGATTTCTTGTATGAAAAGGGATGTAGGTATGAAGATTTGAGATATTGCCATGTATTTTTGCATGCACATTCCGACAAGAGTTTTGAATGGAAGTTTCACAGGTGCTAGAACAAGATCATCCACATTTGTAAAAAACAGAAACTCTTATTTTCCCAAAATAGAATTTCCGTAAAATAAATGATCATTCTTCCAGGTGGCATATCATTACAACATCATTTGCACGGAGTTAAACAAGCTGGAACGGTTACACATTACCTTAGTTGCATTAAAGCGACTTTTGTTTATCGTTTTTCACGTCTGATAAATCTGCTGCAATTAGGAGGTAAGTGTTACACGTCTTATCATAATGATTTCCGACACAATTACAAAATTCCTACAGATTTTAAACCAGTGATGCCTGAAAATCCCAGCCACAACATGGCATTTCGAGAGTTGACATGGATGATTATTCTGAAGCTGAATTTGTATACCCTGTTGTTGACAAAATTATCCTCTAAAAAGGGGACATGAAACTTTTTCAATGACATTATTGCAACACAGTAAACACTAGATTTCTATTTTGTTAATCAAACTGCAATTCCATAAAGATTTGCTGCTTCGCATTTGGTTACTTAGTCGGGTGCAAAATTCACACATTCATTGGAAAGTAAAACCTGTAATTATCCTCATACCTCAAATTAAGGGTAACCTCGATCTACGAGGTTAGTTTTGACAGAAACGAGGGAAAGATTTGGAATATGCTAACCTATAGAATAGAATTTCAAACACCGGAATGTTTGTGCTTTATAATGAGCGAATACCATATTTTCAAGATTTTGAAGTCACTATATTGTGATGCATCTAGTTATTAAAAATAAGACAGTTTACAGCGTAATGAGAGGTATTGACGAATCGACACCAAACGGAACCTAAAGTATGGTTATTAGCGAAAGAGGACTAACGAGAAAGAGGAAAACGCGCGAGCGGTCTTCTGCCAGACTCACCAAAAAATTTTCGCTGTCCTTTGGCAAAACACTAGGCGTCTCCAAGATGTTACGGTGCAATGACACACCATCCAAGGTGCTTACAGCTGGATATTTTCACGATGGAAAATGATACATGCAAAATATTTTCTGGACAATTGAAAAAGTTTTTAACCTTTAGGGAGACTAGTTAATATTGCTGCTTTTGTAATGAAATCGCAAGTGGCATGACTCCTTTTATAAAGCACGATGCTTATTAAGTGACCAATGTAGAGCCGGAACAGTGGATTTGACGACTCTTAAAGTGCTTAGGTCCTGGGATTATAGGTAACAAAAATCATAAACTGCCTATTTAAAAGAAAAAATCGTCCGCTTTGAAACAGATAAAAGTCTATATTTGTGCATAATAGATGGTTTTAATGATGGAGTGCACTTTTATCTAACATGACATGCCTTCAAAAAGCTTTTAATTAATTAAACACATTGCATACAGAAAAAAGGTAATAATAGCATAGCAATTTTATGCACTAATATGTAAAATGCTTATGTGCTTATGTGCATATTTTGAAAGTTTGCTTCATCTCAATACTGGGCCACGATTTTGACAGGGGATAGACTTTAGCCCATGGAAAGCAATCTTCTCACACACACACTGTGAGAGGGGATTTAAAGTCACACTTAGTAACAAATTAAACTCATGGACTGATTTTAGGAGATATTGCTGCCGCTGAAAACATTTTCTGAAGCAGCCAGGAAATACCCGAAACAGCAACCACCGGATTGCACTATACCACACAGGAAACGCATGTTCAAGTTGACGCCGCAGAGTAGCAGAGGTCGTAGCAAACATGATACAAGCCATTAAGCACTCAGCAGTCCTAAGCAATGTTTAGATTAAGGCAAAATAGAACAGCGGAATGGCCTGAAACAATTTTTTAGCCAAGAAAGTCCTAAGTAATCCACTTTGGGGTAGAACACCCTTGCTCATTTCCTATCTCCCAATTCACAGGAATGGGCTAATCAAACCAGTTGTTTTTTGGCATGTAAGTTGACTTATGAACCATTGTTCAGTTAGCTCTAATGCATGATGTGAAAACATATTTTGCAACGCTTAAGTGAATTTTAAAATTACTTCTAAGAGTACCTTTAATAAATAAAATCTCAATTTTCTGGGGATTCTTTTGAGTAAATTTCCCTAGAGGTTTGTACTACTATGGCCTTAATACCTAGGACATAGTTATTGCCTCAAAATTTGTTAAGAGGTTGTTGTGAGTTACTTTAAATTAGGCGCTATTGTGATGCATTTGAGTTGTCACTACCGGTCGTCTCAGGGAACTGGCGCTGAAGTGTAATCTACTACCAGCTCCCGTGGGGACAAGTGGAATGGAAGTCCAAAATAGCAGAGGATTGTGTACTGAATTCGCATTTTGGTTTAAAAGCACTGGTTATTGATACCACTTCGACGCGTATTTCGTGATATGTTACAAAAAATGCCCATTAATTCTATGAAATAAAATTGGAGAGACCGATCTTTGTTCTCATGTCGGCAGAAGAGAAGCAAAGGATGATACTACCCTATGCTGTACATAAATTACCAGGAAGACTGCGATCCATAGGAGGTCCTGAATGGGAAGCCGGATGGAATCCAGTGCTTAGATATAGCACCCACATTTGTCCCACTATGCAGAAAGTCTTCTGTTTCCCGACTTTACGCATTTGGACATATTGTTAGATTCAGCAAAGGTTTAAACAATATTCTGATCCTATTTGTTGACACATTATAGAGATGCATTTGTATGGAGCGAGGTGTTACTAGTGGACTAAAAACGGACCCAAAAGAATGAACAATTTAGCAGCACTTAACTTACAAAGGATTTTTCATTGGTGAACCATGAGCAGGGCAACTTTTATTTTTGCATCCATTAAATAATTATGCAAAAACATCATTGGCCAGGTGAGTATCTGCGGGTATTAAAGTAGGGATGTTTCCTAAAGCCTTAATCTTAGTAATGATGTAATCCATTTTTAAACCTGTTTTTATGGAGCCAGTGTCGTATAGGAAACAACCAATTACAAAATCTTTATTTAGGATTTAAATTTACCATAGAGAATAAAGCCTTTGGAAATTAAGCATTACCTATTCTAAAAAAAAACATTGACACGATAATAATGCTAATGTTATCGTATATCTTCATTGTTATTGCTCTTGTTCCTACAGTTCGACTTTCTAATATGTTCAGTTGTTACTCAAAAAACAAAATACTTAAAAACAAACTGAAAGAATGCACAATAATAGCTTCCCAAGTAGGGGAAACGGAATGTAAAATAAATGTTGAATATTGCTTCTTATGTAAGACCATGTATACAAATACATGTGCAATGGCCACAAGCGAAAAAATTTGCCATATTTTGCTGGTGAGGTTTCTGAGATTGTTAAATCCACTTTATGTTAAAGTGATATGCATTAAATCACTGGCTTGATGGCCGCCTATAATATCAGACTGATTTATAGCACACAGATAAAGTGTGCTCTATTTTACTGCACAGGGTACAAACTTAGTCCTATTTATGACCTTCTCATGTGCCTTCAAAGGAAGCAATTTGGTTCACTAAGGTTTCAACCAAGCAGTAAAAAGTGCAGTCGTAAAATCATCAGAAAGAAAAGTACTACTAGACAGTTCATCGCCTTGTCGCGGAGAAATATGGGACAGCATTTTTTCAGCATAACCCATTTCCAACCACTACACTAAAGGAGTTCAAGATCTTTTTAACTTTTGCCAACATGGAGAAAGTGCTTTGGGGCGATGAAAACTACATTTGAGTATCAAGTCAAATTTGGAGGTCTTTTTTAAAAGTACTATTAGTAAAAAATAAGCCTCCATCTCAATTTTTACATTTGCTGATTTATCGGTGTAGTGAAAGGGTGGAAAGGCGGTTAATCGTTATACGATTTCCTCACGCTTCTTACTCGGAGATTTTTTGCACGGAGTTAAATTTCTACGTATACTAGATTAGCAATCGTGCCAAATTAAGATACCGAGTGACCATTTTTTTTGGAGCAACGACGTGTTCATCTTTTCACCCAGAAAGGAATAAGCACAAAGGGAGCACACAACAATGGATTTTAAGCATTAGTGAAACATTAGAGAATGTCCGCAAACTTTACAATGGTCATCAGTAAGGTGGCAGTAGGTGAGAAGCAAACGATCCATGAAATACTTGAATACTTGCATTAATTCGTTTGCAGTATGCTCTCTCCCCGCTCAAAGCCTTTAAATGCTAACGTAGAATGCTTGTGAGATTTGCGATATAACCTAAAAGAAAAACGATTTCCTAAACTAATAAATTAAAAGATTACCAAACCAGAGATCTACTGTGAGTAGATGTACAAGCATAAACATAAAATTAGTTACTTGATTGAATGTTTTACTTTAGACCACTTTTCGATTGACACCTTTTATAGTGTGAATGTGGGCAGTGGCGCCTCAAGACTTCTCTGAGGACATAAGAAGACAATACTTGGGCGGAACATGTATTGATGACGTACAGTAGAAATTGGGCTACCGGCATGGTCTGGGGATTAGGTTCCCAGCAGGGGTGCAGTGGCGGAGCCCCTAAACGGGTCGTTACCAATACCGAGAGTTGAACAAACAGCAGTACAGCATTACATTGCTCTTCTCGTCCTTTAAACCTTGTCTACGGTGTTCCCCTTCGTCAGCCCCCCAAGTCAGCCATTACACCGTAATGAGTGATGTAAGGAACCCACCCACGAGCCAGCTGTAATAATCATCAAACGTTCATGAAATGAGGTTATACTTGACAGCAATGTCACTGACTATTCTTAGCAATTTTACTAGATCTATATTTTTGTCCTGATTGTAAAATGAATTGGGATAAGAGAGAATGTGCTAATCTTTCCATGTCTATCGTTGTTCTCACTTCAGTGCTGACCAACCATCTCTATCCAGACTTTCTCCGGCTAGTAGAGAAGTGGAGGAGGTATCGCATGTTTACGTGGCTGATATCCTCATTCAGGTACAGCAGACAGCTCTGTAGCCAACTATTTTTTTAATACTTCATAGCTAGTATTGCCTCACTCATTAATAGCTTTCCTGCAGAATACGGGACCAGAGTAAATGCCGAAAGTAAACGTCATTTTCAGCCCCTCTATTAGGGATGTCACAAATTCTTTCATCAGCATTCATTAATAGAAATTCGGGTGGTAGTCCTTTAGGATCAAGTTTGCCTTCCGCTGCCGCCAATGAAGTGCGTCGAGACTTATCTAAAGACGAAGAAGACATAACACTGGGGTAGAATATGTATTGTTGATGTGGAGGAGGGAGTGGAGCCGCTAAAGAGTTTAGGAGGCCAGGCCAGGCCCTAAGTGCCTGTTGCGAAAATCGAAAGTTAAACTAACAATTAACATTTTACAGTACCAGTGTTTTGCTACTATTTTACGCCAGAAAGTGTAAGCATATAATAGCTTTTTGATTTTGAATGAAGGAAAACTGACTGAAAAATTGTTATTTCTCCATATGAACCTAAAAACCACCATATAGGCAAGACAAAATTCTTCCATAAAATATTGTTTTGAAGATGCTGTAGACTTCTAATGTAGGATTTAGAAGGAAATTCACTTTATTTAACTCTATGACAGTCAATACCACACGTTGCCTTCGTTAAAAACTTACGATAGCACATTGTAGCCGGTATCATTCAAAATCAGGGGCATAAAGGGGAAATGATTGGTGCTGATAATAGAGGAAATATATATGTCAAAGCGGAAAAGTGGCTGTTCAAGTATGTCTCTGTTTGTCACGATCTTCTGAGAGGTATTGGAATAGTTGTAAATAGTGATAAGAAATATTTGACCACTATCAGTGATAATCTTTAGCGCAAAGTTATGGAAAATATAAATTAGGTTTAAAAGGCTTGCAACCAAAGTGTAAAAATCCCATCTTTGAGTCAAATGGCAATTGAGAAGTGGTGTGTTGGATTTTTGATAGTTGCGAAAGGTTCAGCTTAGACCAAATTTGGTTTTACTTAAGCAAATCTTAGTAAGCAGGCTCACAAATGAAACGGGTTGGTCTGAATCGTACCTGGCAGGAAAAAGTTCATGTTTTTAATTGTCAGCACCAATTTAATGGTAGAGAGCAGGTTAAAAATTATTTGTATCCGTATTATTATGAAAGTGGCTGCAGACTACGTAATGTTTGCAAAAGGAGGTTGAGACGTGGGCCGACAGCCCAATTTCATGTCAAACAGAATGGGCGTTTTCTCCTAACCAGTCAAAACTCCGCTCACATCTAGTGTGTGTGTGATGAACCGGATAGTTTAACCTGCCAGCATTTGTCGAATTCTATGAAAAACAGTACTTATGGTCAAAGAAACACTCAAAAGTACAAAATTGATAGGCTGAATTAGGTAAGTACTCGTGTAATGTATCGGAGCTCATGGTCATTTGTTAGTAGGCAAATAAGCGCCAAGCAGCCTTCTTTAATATTGTTTTGCGCTACTTATTTTTTGGTCTTCTAGCAGTAAAATGTTGGCAATTCGTTGCATGTTTAAAGGCAATAATGTCCAATGAGTGAGACTACGATTTTAAGGCCAAGGCGGTTAAAAAGTCTTTTGCTTCACTGCTATTTATCATTTTTACACTTCCAATTCTGTATTATAGGGTGAGGCTTCCTAAAAGTCGAACAACTATAGTGTGAGACTGTGACATTAGGTATCAGGATTCTTCTCATTGTTACGTACCAAAAGATGAAGTCTGTTGTGAAAGTGGCCCATTGATAGGCCAACTATAATTGGGCAATGGAATTGGACAAACCGAGGAATCCGCTCAATTCAACTGATCTGTCATCCAGATCTTAGCTTGATTAATATTGTAATGATTTGAAATTCTGTTTTATTGTGTGTCAGACTACACGAGCAATTGGGTCTCTTAAGGTTGTAATTTAGTTCGCCGACTTGGCCTTTGGGCAATATTGGTCGCCCCACAACTTTTCTTTCAGTTAGTAATGTATATTCGCCAGCAATACTTCGACTTGTTACGATCTCAGGAGATTCATGCGTTATAGTATTTTCAAAGAGTCGGATAGCCTAGTAACCCATAGAAGAACTCTAGTGAATGTAATGACCTCAGGGTTATGAAGAGTTTATTTCATGACCGACTTTTTATTTTGTTGCAATTAAAGGTGGTGATAAGAGAAGGTGCTCCACTTCGGGATTTCATAAATCATGGAATTTACATAAAACCTTAACTAAAAGTTACCTTTTAAGGTGTAAAATAGGGAAGTTTGTTTATTTTGTAACCAAAACAGCAGCATCTTTTTATGGCACATAGTTATTTATGCAGTGCCTATAATCTCACATGTGTACTGGCTATTTAACAGTTTATCCTAAAGGTGCAGCCGTCCAATTCTTGATGTGCTTAAGGAGTTTCAGCTTTAATATTTAAGAGTTTTCTTATTATAGCCCATTGTTTACCGCCTTGAACTGACTGGTGGTGACGGAAGACACGTCTCTCCCCCAATGAGAAGTAGTAATTCCTCAAAAAATGACGTCCGTGCACTCGGACCAAAGGCTGAAGTAGTAGCCGAGGTTAGATACTGCGCAGATAAGATGGGTTAAAAAGGCAAATGAAAAGGTGCAGCAGCAGTACTATTTCATACTGTTCTATGATATTTGTTTTTCCATTTCTTATACGTCGCATAGATGCTTTCAAATACATCAGACAGGACGTGAATAATAAAAATTTTATAAATATTTTCATTTGGACCCCCTAGTGATTTAGAAAAATTCCTATTGACCTCATCCAACTTAATTTTTACTAGGCTGTAATGCGTAGGTTGTTTAACCCAATTTTGGTAAAAGGGACACACTGGGTCTCCGATATTGCACCTTTGCCGGGTGGGCCAACCTCCAGGCCATGCTATGTCGAATACACACATATATGTTCTGTCCAAATATTATGTATTCTTTCGTCTTCAAGGAAGTCTCAGGGCACTGCCGGGAAATGTGAGCGCATTTAGAAAATGTCACACTTCAGTTACATAGTATCTTAAATTCCGGTTATTGAAGATAATCAGGAATTTTCAATTTGTCAGTTTACTGACAAATATCTTAATATAAGCTAAAACATTGTAATATTTGGCCAAATATGAAAGCTCACTGGAAACGTTCAAGTAGGTTTAAATGAAAAGATAACTTTTCATCTGAAAAATTGACCATCTCTGGATATGTGCCAATTAAAATAGAGGGACAAAAGATTTGACAGCTGCAGCTGACAGTTGAGAATAAACAATCCTTCAGACTATGAACGAATTGTGCACTTTTACTTATACGGAACAGAGAATCCATTCCTATATCTCTGTAGACGTAAAGTCAAATCCAATTTAAGTAAATTAAAAGCACAATTTTACATTACACAGCGGAGGCAAAAAGTTAAAGGACGGTGAGCAATAACGTTTTAATTCCCTGAGTTTTTAAAATAACAGGGTAAAAAGAATTATAAATAGTGTCTCGTGATGAGTAGAAGGTATGCCGCCTGTCACCCACCATGGAGGAGCCTATCTGCGTTCAGAACATAAACTCAGCAAGACAAACGATGTAAATATTTGCAAAATTGTTAAAATACCCAAAATTAAGCATTGGTAGCAAAGCATGGGTAAAGCATCTTTGACAAAAGAATTAGTTAGTCTCAAGCATTCGGCAATTTTACTTCAAAAATGCACGTTCATGCAAGTCGGATGAAAAGTTTTGCATCGAAACATAAGCTTTACTGCGTAACTACTTAAAAATTTGATATTTAAATTTAAGCTTCACTACGTTTCGTACAAATGCATTATTATTAACAATTTTACTACCATCCTGTGCTTCTCAGCTCCCCAATCATCTGCTCTGCAGTTTAAAATTTTTTCGTAAATGGGCTATAGCGCGTTGCTAGTTTTCTTTACTTCAGCACTCTTGATTAAAAGATAAGTACTATTTTAATTTGACTGAAGCGAACAATAATTCCATCAAAATAAATGACCCTTTTCCTGTTAGCAGCTTCTTTTTCAAAGTAATTAAAAATGCAAAGTGTGTTACGTGGTTACGCTTCATTGAGTGGCCAAATTTGTTTACTGTGGACGCGAAGGCCTGCGAGAGAGCAACTGTGACACAAAAATCCCCCAGATAGCAATCCACGACCGACAATTAAACAGTAACCCAATGATGCTCTTGACTAATTTGTGCTTTGATAACGAATTTCATCACCTTGATTTGCTATGCCCCATTACTCATGATTTCCTTCACTGTCCCACTACTTTTTTGTTCGCATTTTAGGGTATAATCTTATGACTGCCAGGTAGTTACCATTGAAGCATAAAAGAGGCAAGGGAAATTTGTCAAGAGCATTGCTGTGGCGAGGAGATGGTTGAACATGTGCTGTCAATTTATTGTGAAGCTCAAATAAGGCTGTCATTTACTACAAGTCAGACAGTTGAAGCATTGAATTATTATTTGCAAAATCATGTTACCCAATGTAGATGCATATGCATGGGCGTTAAATGATGAGAAAAAGTGAATTTGATTGTTCCTTACACTACTGTGATAAAATAAAGTGTCTCTCAGCATGGCAAGCCTTTTTAGCAAGTGGAGTACCTCAGTGGCATATCCCAAGAATAATTGTGAACAACCTGATTTATAGCGCAAATGTAATAAGCCAAGCAAGTTTTGCATGAAATTGTACCATAGTGATCAATGCGTATGTTGTTTCCGACCTAGCACTTGTTTGTGAATTTTTACCTTTTATGAATAGAAAAAAAAGAACCAAATATATCAGGGTTATCTTGAAAATGATGGCAACTTCTCATCCTACGGAACAGTTTACACCAAAAACCAAGGCATAGCATTGCGTTTCAGTTTCGTTTCTTTTAACCATTGCCCAGAAGGAAAGCTAGTAATCAGTTTTCTTTAAACGACGAAAGCTTTCTTCAATAATTTTCACAATTTCCAAAAGTATACACTAATTTAAATTATAGGGAGCTAATCGGAGAGATTTTGAGAACTTTTTCCCGGCTTGCACGTTGCCAGACCTGTTATTACGATTCCCGCATAACCGAAAGTGATTCAGAGTACAGAGTAATGATTTGGAATTACAAGTTGCTTAACACAACCCTAATGATGTATAGTGAAGGTACTGAGGGACCAATAATTTACTTTGAAGTAAGCCACCAAGCTTAGCTAGTAGATTTTTTTGCCTCATTTTAGCTTTACCTTACCAAAAGAAAAAGAAGTAGAGGTTAAGACAAAGGGTTTACGTTCTACGTCGCTTCGGTGAGATTTTGCGCTTTATTGGAGGGGTTGGCAAATTTAAAGGAACGTGTCCTTTTTTTATTTCATTATATGATTACATTGGTGGAGGAGAGCAGGAATAGACGGACATTTTTTTCTGTTAAGAGAAGTTAGTGCTAGATATTTTTTGCATCTTGCAATTCGCGATGATTACCATCATCTTTAACTAGAAGTTACCTTTATCTAACCTATCGTCTTACTTACTTGCCAGTGATCTCGAACAACTCCTTTGAAAAGGTGACACCGAATTAGATCACTACATCCCATCTAAGCAATCATAAATAAGAAAACCCCTGTATTACGAATCGAATGCTGAGTACTCTCGATTTACAAGTTATTAATTTTACAAAATAAGAGTGTAGGACACAAAAAGGTTCCTTTTATGATGTTGATAAACACCTTTAATTTCGTGATATTTGGCAAGAAGGTGGCAGCTTCTCTTTCTGATTATTCGGATTCATGTAGATGCCTTAAAGGTTTTCTAAAAACCAAAAGTGTGCGGAAGCAGCTAAGGTTTGACTACAAAAGTCCGCAATTTTCCTTTGCCAAGTTAAAATTATCTGCTTATCGCACATTTTCACCATAATTGCCCAAAACTCAAATTCAAACCAAAGTAGAGTGAATTAGGCATTTAAAATTTTAAAGATGGTTCTCTACCCAGAGAGGGAGAAAAATCAAAATTTCAAAACCGTCCATAGCAGGAGTAACATCAGAACCCCTTCAGAGATGTCCTACAACCCTGATCAAGATTTTGGAAATAAGCTAAGTAAATCAAAATAAACATAACTAAATCTGTGTTATACCCACTCCGCAGATGAGTCAGTTTCCAGTCCTGTGCTTCTAAGTTTTCGGCAGTAAATGAAGTTTAGCAAAGGGCTTGACGCTTTTACAAAACTTAAGTAGGCCACTATAACTTTAAACCACCCCATAAATGAATTTTAGTTATCTCCTGAATACCACTTTCATTTGGATTTTGACTGCTGCAGTGCCACAAGTAGCCCTAATTAAATCTGGAAAATTATTTTATCATCAGGTGGAGTAAATTTTTACAGATTTGGGAAGTTTCAGTATCCGATTAACTATAAAATAGACGAGAATTTTTAGGGAATAACCTTGTGTTCTAGCGACTCTCTTACTATTTTTAGGCTTCAGGTGTTTTACGCGAATTCGGGCAAAAAAGCTGGAGTGGTGCATGGGATCCGTGCGTTTCCTAGCCATGAGAAACATGAGGCGCAATTTAAAGATTCACCTGAAGGGAATTTTACCGAGTCTGTTCGGTTTGGATCAAACTACCTCTTTCAGCACTGCGTAGCTGGACTCCATCGCCAACAGAACGCAAGATTGCAAACAGACGTATTTTACCCTCTACATATTGTGAATATTCTATTCAAAAGCTTGTTTTGTAGTTATTTTAAAAGGCAAGTAGGAAGAATAAATAGAAAGTAACAGAAAATGCTCATTTTGATTTAGGTCTTGGATGCTAAACTGCCTTATGTTTGCTACTTTGAGTATGGAGCCACTAGAAGAGAGCAAAAAATTGAACACATCAATAAAGCTCTATTAAATTAATGAAGCGTGAAGTTCTAAGAAAACAGCCTAGAGGCAAAAAAACTGTGAAACTATTAGCCAACATTTCTGGCACTCCTCAAGTAACATTTCCACCTGTTAATTTTCCTTGCTTTTTATCTCAAAATTTTGAGACGATTTTTGTAATGAACCACAAATTGAATATATAGTTGCAGAATTGTAATAAGCTATAATTCTTTGGTAGATTCCTGCAAATATTTAAAGGTCGTGTGCTACAAGTATCAATTATGAAGTTTCAAAGCTAGTATCAGAAGAGCTACCCGTCCAGTCTTAAGGAGAGTCAGACCACGAAAGTACTGGCTTTTATGAAGCTCCCTCAGCCTCCACTTCTACATATACGGGACGTGAGGTATTTGCACTTTTTTAGTCTCAAGAATGTTAAAAATGCTATGGGAAAAAATATATATTTTTGCGTTTAATCCTTGTGGGACAAAGGAAAGGGTAATTGCCATCCTAATTTCTTTATTACTGCCCTCAGGATTCGCTGGTGGAGTATACACAGGCAATTTTAACGCCATTGCATTTTCATTTAATACGCGACACAGAAGAGGCTCTTTCCTGATTAAGGGAAAGCACCTTTTCGTGTCCTTATTAACGTTGCACCTATAATCAGTGGTCACCTGCAAAGCCTTTACAAAAATTCACACTAATAGTAGAAGATGCAGTCACTGGCTGGCAGACCACATTGCAGAAGCCAGTGCAGACTCGTAACTTATGTGATTATTAAATCAGTACACTTCCTAGATCACTGCGGTTAGATGGTGTCAAAGATGATACGATTAGCGCATCCAAATGCTTGAATAAATACCATGTAATGGACCATTTCTCTAACATATTCAGGGAAATGTACCTTTGTTGTAAGTTTTCAGTTCAATCCAGCGATTGCTTGCTCATCTGACTTAAAATGAACTACTACTACTTCAAAAAGAAAAAATAATCGAATTAATGCTTAAGTAAGGAGGCGTAAATTTATAAAAGTTGATTGAATGCACTGTATATTTACTAAAACAAGACGCATTCTTTTAATCAGATTGTGAAGCACCACAACATCTATTGAACCTGTATATTGTCCTTTCCGGATGTGCGCTTAGCCCTTCGCTGCTCAAGTATGATCACGCAAACTTGATCGTGGACCATTGTGTAATTGAAAATGCTTTGTTAGAAGTAAGGGGATTACATTAGGTCTTTTACTACAACTGGGTATTTTATCAGGTTCAAAGAAATAAACTTTAGTGGCATCTGTTAGCTGGAGCACGTTAAACACACGTACGGTGTATCATTTTGAACATTTGGAATGATTTAAAGTTTCATCTTTCCTCATTCATGTGTTAAACTGCTTTCATACATTCACATGTTAAAAAGCCGCTGCTGTTGCCACTTCAAGCACTTAAAAGGGATTTGAGGTTTGCTCGACTCTAGTTTAAAAGAAAATAAGA